TGCAAACATGATGCACATGATCAATCCACAGACTTCAAGCAGGAATTCATAGTGTTAAAATATTTTGACTTGTTGGGTCTTTCTGAGTTCTTTGCAATTGAAGAATCACTCTTATTATTTTTCTATAATCAAAATAAGTGAAAACTAACAACCGGAATTTTCCAAGTCTAAAAAGATCAAGAACCACTTTATTACAGCAATGACAAGCCAGACTTTTTGCTTGACAGGCCAGATGGATGGCATCTGGTTCGTCCACGGGCCAGATCCAGCTGGTGGGCCAAATTCAGTGTGCGGGGCAGGCACGGCAGGGCCCAATCTGGCAGTGTGGAGGGGGAAAGGGGCATGGCCCAGCCCTGACCTGGCCATGCAACTTTGGTACTTTGGGAGGGTGGGGGGGAGGAGGAAGGGTGAGTAAGTACTAACTGTTGTTGCTCCCCTGCCACCGAACTGCTGGACCTGTATGGAGCCCCACAGGTTGGATACCATGGTTACACAGGCCAGATCCGGCTCATGGGCCAGGGCTTCAGCACCCCTGTTCTAGAAATTGATTCATTAGGATTAATTTAAGAGCTGTTACTCTATAGAAGAGCTTTGAAAAGCAATGCAGGTAGGCAGAAATATAGAGTAACGGAGTGATGGATCAGGCTCAGTATTGAAGAGACTTTTGCAGTGAACACAGCTTACTTTTAATAAAATACATTAATGGGAACACAAACCTTCTCCTTCCGTCACTTCAGAACGATCTGACTTGGTTTCCTTGTGCTGCCCTTCTGCTACTTTCACGGCCACTGCTCTGCAAATTGCTCCAAGCTTACGATCCAAAGAGCGGACCCCTGCCTCTCTAGTGTACCTACCAACAAAGAAAATTTGAAGTAGATATAGAACTGAATAAATTTAAATTAAAAAAAATTCTCTGTGTTTGCAGACTATTGCTACTGAAAGGTAGCTTAGCATTTCAACAAACTTAGGTTCCACACACCTCAATATACTTCCAGTGTCTTCCACCAGTTCAGTGGTTGGCCCTCTTTAAAACTGTGGCAGCAGATGCTGACAGCATGTACAATACTTCTAAAAATGATTTTACTAGTAAGATAAGGATTTAACATAGGTGGTGGCCATCATTCTAACCATTTCTCTGAATTAAAGTGCATGTATATAAAAAAAATTAGAAGTCACATTAGTTTCTTTTTTTTTTTTTAATCTACCATGGAAGAAGTCCCTGGATCCTGACAGACTCAGCATCTGGGGCTCTATATTGGAGAGGAATACCCCCAAACAGGAACCAAGTAAGACCTGTTACCCCTTGTTTTTGCCACTTTAAATTAGTATCAGAGAAGGTAGGGAAGTAACTTTTCCAAGATATAGCAGGAGGTTCAAGAAACATGTAACAAAAACATGCAGTAAGTAGTGAATTTATATAGTGATTCATAAGGATGACATTAACAAGCTGTTCCTAATCTATATATAAAATTTTCATTAAAAAAAGAAAACACTGTTCTGCTAGATAACGAGTATATAAACAATGTGCATACTGTATCTCTGTGACAGCTGAACTGAGATACACCATGCCGGTTGCTATTTAGGTTACAAGGATCCCCCCACTTAATGACTCCTGGAGAAACAATCTGTGCTGTTAGCTTAATAATTTACTAGCCTGTCAGAAAAAAGGACCTAGAATGTAAGAGGAATGAATGCAGCTTTACCTGGTGATGATATCCAGGGTAGTTACTTGGGGAATCTGGATCTGTTGAGGTGTCAAGCCATGCTGTTCTAGCTGCTTAGGGATCAAGTGTCTATGAGCAATTTCTATCTTCTCTTCCTGTGTATATCCTTCAAAATAAAGCATTGTGTTCTTTTTCTTGTCTATTCCATACCAAACTTCTCACTAATTATATGTGCATGATATTTAAATTATATGTACAAACTATATGTTCACTCCAGTAGTTTGACTACACTTAACTCTAAACGATATCCTGTAAATAAATCAACACATTTCTAAATTATACCCTAAAAAACCCTCAGCTTTAGAGTCCAAAGCAAAAAAATAATTTCTGTGGTAAATTCATATTTATCTACAATACTTTATTGCTGTTTTGTTGCTCAACAAGGAGCATTTTTTAAACTAACTATATTCAAGTGCAATTTTTTTGGGGGGGGGAGGGCCCGCTATTTATGTAGGTATGGCTAATTCTTAGTGAAATTATGCTTGCACTGCATTTTTGCAGTATGATATGTTCTATAAAATGGAAGCAGAGTTAGACATATAACTACCTATTTTTCAGTTATAAGTAGCAATTAAATAGTAAAGGCTGGCAGAGGTCTAAAGAATATCTTTTTTAACCCATTCGAAATTAGGCTTTGATCCTGAAAAGATGAAAAAGTGGAACTTGGATGAATAGTTTCACTGAAGCCAAGGGAACTATTTTTGTGACTGAAGTTAGTAAGGTATGCATTTCCTAAACTAGTCATAAATTTTAAGTATCAGAACAAAAAACATAATAGAAAAACAAATTATCAAGATAATCCTGTCCTCTTAAGAACTAAGGCACACTCAGGAAAACATTAAGTGGTTAAAGCATTGCATTATGTAGAGGAGATAATATATGTATTATATAAAAATATATGAGGAATATATCCTCAGAATTCAGAATTTCAGAACAAGAAATACAATTTCAAGTTTCCAAGCCCAAAACTAAAAGTTCTCTTTCCAAGAACTTGAGAAAGAATTGTTAGCAAAACAGGCTGGACACATATGAGTTAAACCACATCAATAGTATCCAAGATATTGTGTTTCCATACAAGTGGGCCTAGAGTTTCAAGGAAAATGTTGAACTCCAACTCCCATCATTTTTAAAATAAGGACCTGTTACAATGTCTCAGTATGGACAGCCAAAGCTAGAGACACCCAATTGGTACTTTTTGAACATTTTCACAATGGAGTCTCGTTTTCCCCATACCTGTGTTAACAGAAATGCATTGTTAAGGGAAAAAGGTACAGGTTCAGGCCATACCACAGTCATCTGAGCAAAAGCACTTCAGTGTTACCTGGAACCTGAATGACCTCCATTCTATCAAGCAGAGCAGGTGCAATGGTAGCTGTAGTGTTGGCAGTTGCTATGAACAGGACTTGAGACAAGTCAAAGGCTACATTTAAGTAGTGATCAGTGAAACTATGATTCTGTTCCGGATCCAGGACCTTAAGGGAAATGAATACAAATTGTTGTCATTGGTCCACTGACAGTAAAATGCACACACTTTTCTTTAGTTATATCTTCTGTGTTATTTGTATTTACAGTATATGCTTTTATAATCAAAGCACTGATGTCAAGATTTGCCCGAGGAAGGCAGGCAACATCAGGCCCTAAATGTAATCCCTCATCTCCAACATCCTGTCCAGCTGTTTTAGCTGTTTGCTACTAGATTCTACATTGCATGGAATAATAAATTTGTACCAGAAATCCCTTAATTAAAACTCATGCTTAGTTTAAAGTAATGACAGTGGAAATTAATCCTTTCCAGACACACTTTCAGTATGAACATAATCAGATAGTATGAGAATGTTAAACACTGCCAGTTTTCTTCATTTAAAAATAGTAATATAATCTGAAATTCCTGAAACATGATACTTTCTATACAACACAAACAGTGTATTATGACTCGCAAACCACTGTAAACATATTGAATTTACTTCAGCTCAATTCTCCTGGAGCTTCTAGTAACTTACAAAATTAACTGATTTAAAATCTCATATAAAAGCTTTCGTATGCATTAATCTTTCACTTCCTGCTTGGCTTTTTAAGACTGTTACATAATCCTCAAATCCTCAATTTTTTCCCTTAAAGTTGATGCTGATTCTGCCAAATTACACAGTGCCAGCAACAGTACCGAGTATTCTAGTGCTCAGAAGCAACCGGTTCCCAAAACTGAACCCCACATTAAAGTGACTGCTCCACCACCAGTCTCCCATGTGACCTAGCTATCTTTCTTCAAAACAAATAAGACAGGAGCTATTAAGGGCTACAACAGTGAATTTTTCAGACACTTTGGACAGTTTGTGGGTGGACTAAAGGAAAAAAATAGGTTATTTTAGTAAATGGTTTCCTAAGTCTCTCCAAGATAGTTTCAGCTGTCAATATGAAAAATGTATATGCTTCCCCCCAAAAAGTATACTTTTCTCCAAAAAGGTCTAAACTAAGTGCTAGTCTCAAGTCTCAGGACATAAGCATTTTGCATCTAATGCAATTTTTTTGAACAGAAGACTAAAAATGTCTTCAATCTGCTCTATATTCTTTCAGGAATATACTATTTGTCCATTAAAATCAGGAGGGCCATAAAGAAAGGTCACACTCTGCACAGCCATTGTATGGTTCATAAATCAAGTACTGGGCCCAAGTTTTTTCCTGATGTAAATGGGAATTACAATGCTGACTTCAATGGATTTTTTTCTGATTTCAATAGAAAAGAATTTGACACACTATTTTATAATTACTGGTGACAAAAAAAATTGATGGACAAATAATCTTACCTCAACATTTACGGTTCCACTCCTAATGGTGATACAACACAGAATTAAAGCTGTTTAGAAAAGCTTTACATTGTCTTTGCACTCCTTTGAATGATTTGGGTTTTCTTCTAAAGCAGTTTTACTTTATTTTTTTTAAGCAAACTATTTGTCTGGACGACAGGGTAGATTCTTGCAGCTGTAACTTTAACATACATTGCGGGGGGCCTAGAAATTTCCATAAATTAAAAAAAATATCCTCCCTGCTGGGGGTACCTGTATTGCTTTCAAACCAGAATCAGCAACAGTCATAAACTAGTCTAGGCCTGTAGCAAAACAATGACCATCCCTTTTCCCCTCTATGTACAAACTCCACAGGATAGTCTACCCTTCCCACTTCAGATGTGCATGCACGTTTGCCCAATTCATGTTTTATAGCATACATGTAACTAAATGGGTAACTAGATTATATCAGCTAGTTCCACCAGACTTTAAACTGAGAGGAAAATTCAGCTTTTTGCCACAGAGTAAATCTCTATACAAATTTTATGTGGCTTAAATTCCAGTGACAATGAAAGTTCACTGATTTGTCTTGCCATAGTCATATCTTTCGAGCTTCACATGCCTGGCCTTTTGTAAAACAGAGAGCAGAGAGAGGTCACTGGTTCTCAACCTCATTGGACTCAAGGCACCCCTTGGTAGACTCAAGGTACTTCTAGGAAAAAAATTTTGACTATAAAAAAAATAATAGAGCAAGAAGTTGGTCAGAATATTTTTTACAGTACGAATTCCTATTTCAAATCTGTCCTTTCTAAAGGCCTAAATTTCTGTCCAGAAAAATACCCTAATAAAATACTTCAATGTGGAGAACTGGAAGAATTCTTCTGATGCCTCCGCTTCGAGGAATATTTCCACAACCAAAATGAATCCACTTCCAACAACAACTGATCCTCTGACAACATTGAGGAAAAGATCAACCCCCACAAAAACATCAGATTGGACACCTCACAGTGGATGAAACTCTAACCTTGACTGCTATAGTGACTGCTTCAGGGAAAGAATGAACAATGAAATAATCAACAACTCATGCCACCATAACAAACTCTCCCGATCAGAGAAAGGCCATTGACTCTCTAAGATCTAACCACCAAAGAATAATAAAGCCAGCAGATAAAGGAGGAGGCAGTCATCTTTAACTGTGAAGACAACATAAAAGAAGCCAAGAGACACCACCTACTACAAAGAACTCCAGGCAGATTCTACTCCACTTTTAACCTTGAAACTCAAAAATACTATCAAATCCTTTCCATCAGAACTACAAGAAAACTACAGACCTTGCTCCCCACCCCCCCACTACCTAAGCCAGGGACTTTTTACATGCTCCCTAACAACCATGAACAAGGGAACCCTGGCAGACTTATCATACTCAACCACAGAACCCTAACCTAAGGAAATACCAGGTTTCGACAAATCAATCATAAAACCACTTGTCATCTGAAAAGCGAGTTTTGTCCAAGACACTACAGACTTTCTATGAAAACTTAAAAATATAGATCACCTTCCCAGCAACACACTCCTAGCCACTGTGGATATTACCAGCTTATACACCAACATCCCACACCAGGATGGCATCCAAGCCTGCCTTACATACCTACAAGAGCAAGACGACAACTCAGAGTACAGACCCAAAGATATTACTGACCTTATACACTTCATCCTCACACAACAACTTAACTTTTAATAACCAACACTTCTGCCACACCATGGGCACAGCTATGGGCACCAAAATGGCCCCACAGTATGCCAACCTTTATATAAGCCACCTGGAAAAAGAATTCCTTAAGGACTGCACCAAACCCTTGCTACACTTAAGATATATCAATGACAATCATCACCCCTCCATCCAACTATCTCTTGAATACTCCAGCACCAACATCTCCTTTTTAGACACAATGATCAGTATCCAGAATGGTAAAATACAGACCACATTATACAAGAAACCCACAGACCAACATACATATCAGCATAGAACCAGCAATCACCCTAAACACACCAAGAAAGCTGTGATACATAGCCAAGTCCTCGGATACCACTGAATTTGCACTGAGAACACCCAGAACTGCCACCTCACAAATCTTAAAACGGTTTTCACTCAATAAGGACACTCCTCCAGAGAGATAGATTGCATGTGTGAAAGAGCCACCAGGATACCACATAAAGAACTGCTGCAGTACAGAAGGAAAACCCCCATGAATCGCACACCGCTGGTTATGACATACCAGCCTTCCCCTCGAACCTATATGGAAAATCCTCAAATAATTGCAAGCCATACTAGAAGTAGACCCGATTCTTAAACAGATCTTCCCAGAACCACCCAACCTAGCCTTCAAACAAGCACAGAACCTTGCTAACCTCATCACCAGAAGCAAACTTCCTATGGCCCAAAACACACCAAATGGACCCAGACCATGCCAGGACAAGAAATGCAAAACCTGCCAACGCATCTTCACCACCCCCTCCACAATGACTACACCCCACACCAGAGCCATCAGCATTCCTGGATCTTACAGCTGCACCTCCAGAAATGTAAACTCTCTCATCCAATGCACCAAATGCCCTGATGGAAAATACACAGGAGAGACCAAACACCAACTGCGCACCAGAATGAATGCACACCAGGAATCTATTAAAAACAAGAATACCCAATTACGGATGGGGGCACGTTTCTCACAAGAAGACCACTCAGTTCTAATCCTCGAAGGGAATTTACAAAATACCTTCCACAGATGAGCCTATGAACTTCATTTCATCAACCTCCTGCATACAAAAAGCCATGGACTAAATATAGACACTGGACTTATGATACATTATAACCTCCCTGACTTTTGAGTCACCAGGTACCTCTCCACTATTTACCTGCTACATTCATCCCCCTTCTACCCCCTACCCACCCCCCCAGCC